AGTTGAAAAATTAAAGGTTAATTTTTATTTTTAACCCAAATTTATTATAAAAATATATTTATTATATTTTTAACTTATACCCTTAAGACATAAACTTGACAAATCTATGAATAAAAAAAATTATTTAAATGACATATAAAATTATATAAAAAAATAATATAATTATTTTTTTTCATCCAAGTAGACAAATCAAATGTCAAGTCCCTTGCCACGTGGGAATGAGATGGCCAATTTTGCCACAAGAGATAGTCCCCCAAACCGCAGTTAACGGCAATTAACAGTAGTTAAATTGGCTGTGAGAGCAAGGGCTAAATTGCTTCTATTGTAGAGTTTAGGGGCTTAAATGCTTCAATTAAAGTCTGGGGGTTTAATAGCGATTCTGGGATTAGTTCAGGGGCTTAACTTATGGTTTTGCCATTAAGAAACTTGATGTATTAAAAAAGAAAAAATTGGTCAATGAAATTACTACTCGGAAACTGAGTGTAGCATCATTCAAAAAAAAAAAAAAATCCAAGTCCAACGGCTAGTTTTTGCGAACGCGTGAATAGGCGTCCCGGTGCGGCGTTCTAACGGTCACATTTACCTTAAAACCCCGTTATCAGATCCCCATATAACCCCTCACGACTCTGCCCTTCAATCATCTACTTTCTCTATTCTGTTAATTTTGCTTTCCTTTCTTCTCTGCGGTAAATTCCCCTGAAAAAGCTAACTTCCGATTACCTATCTCGTTTTCCGGTGACCTTTTTGATCCACTAATTTCAATGGAGACCCCTTCATCAAGGAGAAGAGTCACCAGATCGCAAACACTGGCTGCTGTGAACAACTCGGCTACCAACAGTAACAGTATTCCGATCTCAAGTAAGATCTCCAATTTCTTTTCTTTTCTACCAATCAATCGAAGATTGATAGAAACCGGAATGAAACAATAGACCCATTTCTTGATTTGAAGAACTTTTGCGGAAATTTTTTCAAGAATCTACTTTTATGATTTACCCTCCTTTTATTTTTTGGACACTTGTTTTTTCAGGGAAGATTGAAGATTCTGAGATGAGTGTTTCAAAATCAAAAACAAGAAACGCAAAACATCAGCAAGATCGTTCTGCACTTATTGACATATCAAACGATTCACCGATTGTTGGGCTCGCTATGGAGACACCGTCATCGGCTATAACCAAGCAGAGGAGCAGTATAGCCAAGAAGACTCCTGGTTCTGGTGAGGCCCTGCTCAGGGGCCAGGTAAAGACTCTGTTGCAAAGGGTTGAAGAAGAAGCTGAACTTTCCAAACTGCCAATGGAGAGCCGTCCGTTTCTTCATCTCAAGAACTTAATCAATTCCCCGATGGGTCTTCTTGCCCCCACTCCGGCCAACACACCGCAGATCAATGATCTCTCTGGGGATGATTTGGCGATGGGTACAGCTTCCCCTGTTTCTGAGGAACAACAGATGATAATATCTCAGGTGGGCTAACTTCGAATCTATATAAAAAATTGAAAATTCCCTTGATGTTTTAGTTTAAAATTGTCTGAAAGAACTTTTGTTGTTGTTGATATTAGGCTGTGAGTGATATTTTTGAGGGGAAGAAAGAAGGGACTCTGGAATCCCAAAAGAGTTTGATTACTAGGTCTCTGCTGCTGGATTTCTCTGAGAAATCAGATATCTCTGATTCATCGGAATGTTCGTCGGTGGTGACAACAGGAAACAGTGAAAGCAAAGAGAAGTCAACACCAGAGGATGATAATTCTTCTGTTTGGTCTATTCAGGTGAATGCAAGCACCCATGATGAAGATGATGAAGAAATAATTGAAGAAGAAGGAGAGGTAGAAGATGATTACTACGAAGAAGATGCTAAAGAAGAGGATGATGGAAGGTGGATTGATGAGCTCTGCAAGGGAGTTAGCAAGATAAGCGTGAAAAGGAAACACACAAGATTTGTGTACAACAGTGATGATGAAATTGCGGGAGAAGAAGAGTGTGAGGACTTGGCCGGTGAGTCGCCGGAGATATTAAGGTTGAAGGGCTTGCCAACACCCAAGGGGAAGCACCTGCGCTTTCCAGTGGAGGAGGAAGATAGCTAAGACGTTGTGTTGGTGATGGGATTTTTGGCGGTCTTTGTTGACAGCCTGTTTTTGTTTCCTTTTAATGGAAATGCACAAAAACACCAACATTGATTTGTTTGTTTTTAGAGTTTGGTTTATGTTGACTGAAGATGGAAATGGGCACAAAATATAGAAGCATGTGTGGGATCACGAATTAAGTGATTGAATAAAATTTTGATTTGTTCGCAAATTTATGTTGTTTTTGCACTTTTTTTATGAGTTCACTTTTTGATCGTTTAATAATATTCCTTCTAAATCCAATTAAGGCCTTAGAAGATAAGACCTTTCACGTAAAGGTATCCTTATTCTTATATATCTGTGGCAAGCAGGCTCGTAGATGGTCCAATTGTTTGGACTTTTAACTAGAAGATTAAAATGCTGATTTCACATGAAAGGGAGTTCGATGGAATATGCAAGCAACATGAGAAGGGAGCCTATGATGTAACTCTAGAGATTGAACATTGAACAATAAGAGGAGAACTTGCGATTAACTGAAATTGATTACCAATTTGCTTTTGGATTCATAAATTGCATATGCATATCTTCTCCAGCAATTTGGTTTTAGAACTCAAATCCAAAAATAATAACAAGACTCTCTAAACATATGTACGAGCAACTTATTTGCGAGAGCTGAACTGCATTCATCAAAACCAGGGATGCCACGTTGGATCCATCATGCACAAGTTCCTAGGTGTCAGGGCAGATTCAACCAATTCATTGACACCTCTCTGCACCGACTGTGGAGGGTCACTCATACTCTCCTCCTGAATGAAGTGCAAGTGACACAAGACCAGGTATAAGTCAAACACCATTCCACCACAAATCAAGTCATAGGAAACAGCTGAAAGCAATGGTCTCTAAAAGAAATGGGCATCACAAATGGTTAATGACAAAGGTAGTTAATTTTTTACCTCTTCAGAGAAGAACTGAGGGGCTATTCCAGTGATACGTTCAATAACATTATCCACGTTGGCAGTAACCTTATGCTTGAAGTCAGCAGGATTCAAACCACCTCCTCCAGCAACAGAAGCAGGATGCATCCCAAGTGGTCTTCTCCAAGACCATGATAGAAGCTCATCCCGGAAGAACATGGCTAACTGGTACCATAAGTGCTGACTTTGCTGCAATGCAGAAAATTATGTTAGGAGGTGGTCAATTAACATTGTGATCATGGAGTCAATTCTTTTTCACTTCAACAAATACGTGTAGCATACTTACTTTAGGGGAGACCACAGCCTGTGCTGCTGCACACATGGCAGATACGATAAGCCCTTCCACTCCAAAATGAGAGAAGAAAACCTGCATGTTCCTTGTCAGACGGAATGGCACTGGTTCACCAAATTCAATCACTCCATTCGCATCATATGCAGGATGAAAATCCGTCTGGAATATTTTCCCAGTGTTCTTAGCAAATAAGATCTTATTTGGTGACCTTCCCCCAATCCGTAGCATGAAAGACATGAAACTTGAAAGGGCCAACTGGATGGCAAACTGCTTCTTAAAAGCCCACATGTGGTTGCCACTTAGCAAGGTCTTGTACATGTACTGGGAAAAGATCCCGTCAGTAACTAAATTTTTTGTAATGTCATTGTATGCTTGAATGCGAAGATCCAGAACGGCATCAGCTGAAATTTGGCCAGATATTGCCTGGTTTAATTGCTCCTTGAAATAGGTAATGGGGAGATCTGCTTCTCGGTCATTCCTTGCACAGTGGTTTTCATAAACCTCAAGGAATGTGCTGTACATTAAATCATCTTCAACCATGCGGACCTATGAATTCAACAATCCACTATCAGGAAAGAATATGAACTAAAGAAAATTGATCTTGGAATGACCAACTGTTAACAGTGGACTGCATGGATATAGTAGTACATAGAGTTCTGTGGGCTTTTCAAAAGACTAGAACAAGCATAGGAAATAGAAAACATGTAAAAGAATGGCAATTGTAAGACCAGCTTATCACCTGCGACCAAACAGGAATTATAATGGGTGTGTGAATATATATATGGCGACGTCTAGATTCCTTGTGCTTATCAAACATCTGGTTCATTATGCGGAAGAGCTGCAGTATGCGTTCATCACTTCTAGCATTAGGGGTCAAAGATGTCTGGACAATAAAATGACGTTGAGAACCATCAGAGCCAATAAGAGTCAAACGACGGAAACTGCTTCCATGCCTTCGTACAATTGGTATGTCAGCTCCAACCCGATCTAACTTTACTGTATGGTCAAGTGTAATTTCCTATATGTTGAAGAAAGCATTTGATTCATAAGAACAAACTAATACAGGATAATAGAAGATTAGCAAATGAAGAATTAATTTACCTGATCACTAAAATACTGCCCTGGAATCTCCACATCAACCACATGGAAGTCCCTCAACACCCTGCTTTCCTCCTCCAGCTTCAGGACAGCTGGGAACCTGTCCTCAACATTGCTCTGGAGAATATTTTTCCAACGTTTCAATCTCTCTGTCAGTTCAGAAAGTGTGGCTGGAAAAGTTGTTGTGCTTTCTGGATCAAGGTCACATTCAAAATCTTGCTTGTACTCTCTAACAAAATCTACGTGCTTGTTTACTGCATCTGCAGAGAAGCAAGCCTTGCAAACACCTGACAGCTCTTTCTTGAGAGACAGGGGAACTTCTGCTGTAGTAGCCGTTGGATACTTGTAACACCGGTGCAGCAGAGCATTAACCACTGCAAGGAGTCTCTCCTCAGGAAGGGTAACAAACCTTGAACCGATCTCTGTTAAAAGAATCTGCAAAAGAGAAAAGTTTTTTGTTAGTTTCATGTAATTGGAATATGAATCATGAGACCATTATGAAAATGGCAACATATCTTGGTTATACCACATGCCTTGGGTCAAGTTACTATCACATGCCTTATCTAAGCAGGACTAACAGACAATCGTGCAAATGGTGGGCATAGTAAGAACAATCAAGAAGCAGAAATTTCGTTTTCCCTTCTTTTCTTATTCTTAATCCACTCTTCCTTGATCCTCATGACAAATAAAGAATAAAGAAAGTTCACTTCCCTCTAGAGCACATAAGACATGTCATAAAATATATAATATCATATGCACCACCGAAGTATAATAAGAAAATCTAGAAGAGGATTATCGCACCTCAAGTTCACTAGCCAAATTAGTGTGCTTGCTTCTAAGAGCCTCCATTATATCCTTAGCAGCATCAAAAGCACTGGCAGCAGAAGCAACCAAACCTAAAGCACCATTGCGCCTCATTGTACCTTGTCCACCATCATTGATGGTTGAAGAACTATGCTGCAGAGGTTGATCATTCCCTGCATGCAAACTACTTTCTGTTACATTAGACCTTTCAGGTTCTTGCCCATGAGAGTTTCCACCATCATGGGATCCAATTCCAGCACCAGATTGGGTTCCTTGATGAACTTGATTGTCTGGGGTTAAACTGCCCCCAGCATGAACTCTAGCACTTCCATCAGCTAGCCCAAGAGAACCAGCAGTGGTACCAGAGACATTTTGTTGCATTCTTTGCTGAGCCATCGCAATCCTACCTAATTCTGATTTATTTGCAACATCTCGGCGTTCAAGCAAATATGTACGAAGCCAGTAATACAGAGCCTGGATTTCAAAAAGAAGAGAAGTTCAGAATAATTGCAAGATTGAAATGAAACATATAAAAATAAAACAGAGGCACATCTACCTGAGGATACATGGTAGCAATTTTTAGTAGAACAAGTTTGCAATGAGGAGCCTCTGTCCTTTGCAAGGAAAGTAATAACTGAGGAACCCAAGACAGCCAAACCCAGTGGGGAATTTGGTCTATGAACTTATCAAATGCCCTGCCTACAGGTTCATTGGGAGTATCAAAACTGAGGAGATACAAAACATGAGCTAGATGGCTTCTTGAACTGGAAACACCATATTTAATGCCTTGAAGAAAGCAGCTAACAGTATATTCTAACCAAATCTCATCTTGACTATCTTTATAAGCCTGTAATACCAAAGAAAAGATGCATACTAAGTCTTTCATTATCAGAAACATCCATAGGATGAAAAAAGATTAAAAAAAAAAAAATACCATGTCACAATAATTTCCCCAGCTTATCCATCCTTTAGGCAAATTTTTGAAGAGGGAGATTGCATTGGAGTATGCACCATTAGCATCTTCAGATTCATTCAGCTTTAATAGAAAGTCCCCTTTGAGACGGAATATTTCTGCCTTGTGTTTCACAGTAAAATATTCCAGATTAGTGCTGTTGATCAAATTGAGACCACTGGCAAGTTCTCCCTTCATTTCCAGATATGCCTTTGCCTGTTCTCTTATCTTAACAAAGGCCTCCTGCATATGGGCAACAGGAAAACCAGTGAGTTACTTACAGCTAACAACCAACCCAAGCAAATTGCACAAGAAAACATAACATATAGCTATGCAGACAAAGTGACAAACAACCTCCAAAAGCATCAGACTACATGTTCATCCAAGGCACTATAACTAATCAAAATCACATAACCTTTTGATTGATAGGGTCATAAATTAAAAGCAAAAGAAAGATGCGAATTCATTGGAGGTCATGCGGACTTATCGTGGTATCAATTACCTGCACTTCCATAGTTGAGTGACCATACATCTTCTCAAGAATTGTCACACATACATCATAAAGACCTTGCTTACGAGCCATGCGAGCAAGCTTATTGACATTCCATGCTTTATCACGATAACCAAGATGATGAAGTTGTGGATTGGAGGTGCCAAACTCTTTGAATGCATCTATAACAGCATTATACATTTCATTCCTCCACTGGAGCAAATCATACCAGACAGACATGTTATCCCATTCATTTGGAGTTCTAAGTCTCCAAGTCTCAAGGATGTCCTTGAGATCAGCATAAAGATTTCCATGACCAACAGAACTTCCAGAACTTTTGTTCCCATTGGCAATATCCAGAAGAATTCTAGCAGATTCTTGAACTTCAACCAACTGCTGAAATTGCTGCAGAAGAGGAATCCTTGAGTGAACAGACATTTCAGGCAATTGCCACCACTGTTCCAAAGCAAGATCAACACCTTTTCCAACAATACTTTCAGCATCCCCGACACCATTAGAATTCCTATCATGGAGAGCAAAAAAGGCTTGAATGAGACGAAGTTTGGGAGTTTCTTCTACTTGAGCTTTTGGGATTACATGATCTTTCATATATGCCCATTCAGGCAATTTCCAGAGGCAATCAAGTAGTATTTCATAATTGTCAACGTTCTTCCCAAATTCTACCAATGCATCCCACTGGCTAAGTTGAGTGGCACAATAAAGCCATTGCTCTTCCCAGAGACACATTTCAGCTTTAGGTACAGTGTTATTATAAGTGCCTTGAGTTGCCTTAACCATCGCTTGGTAAAAGAGACCTTGAGCCCGCTGCCAGTAACCATGCTGAACTAATGAAAGCCCAGCTCTGGTTTCTGCAGTGACTGACCTTTTCTTCCACAATCCACACCTCATATCTTCTTCATTGAGTGAACGATACAGCTCAGCCAGAGATTCAGAACACTTGGTATCATTTTGGAACAACATGACATGACTTTCCAGCAGAGCCAATGCAATGTGCCATGCATTATAAGTTTTTCCAATATATTTGATGAGTTCACTAGGCATCCGTGGTTGAGGATGGCTCAGTTGAAGCCCTTCCAGAAGGGCTTGAACAACGTTTGGTCTGCTAGCTTGCTGCTTCTTATGATAATCCTTTGAAAGAAGAGTTATCATTGGTTTAGCGAGATGCACCTGCTCTTCCTTCTGTAAGGTAACCCAGACAATGGGAAATACCAAAACCCATAAATGGTAGGCAACATTTGCATCTGTGTGGGCAAGCTCTCTCAATGGAATAACAAGATCAGCCACCTGAGAGTGAAAAATCAAAAAATAAAATTTCAACTGACATGAATTTCAGCATCCAGCAAAACAAAACTATCTAGTTCAATATGTTCCAGATTCAGAATCCGCAACCACAGTGGATTTCTGAGACACATGATATCAGCTTAAACCAGCCCCTAAACATAAGTAAATTATGTAAACAAATGATTACTGCCCTCATTTGGATTAGTCTCATAAGACCTTGCAACTTGGTAAGGGTTTAAAAGGAGGGAAAACAAAGAGAAAGATTATCATGAATTAATCCCAATATCTCAGCCCAAGGAGGTCTTGCATCAAGTTCTAGTGTGCACTAACGCATGCATTTCTCTGGACAGCATAAAACATAAAAAAGAAGAAGAAATAACCTGAAGTTTGCTCATTTGATTCAGAAATTGTGCATGCTTTGAAACAAGGTTATCAAGTGTCAAGGGAGCTTCCTCAGAACACTCTGGAACTTCAGTGACCTGGTGCTGCATACCAGAGTTATCTGGAACTGAGCCTAGACCAACAAGTGGTAGAACTCTTGCAGAATTTGGAGCAAGTGTAATAGGCTTATCCTCCACCAAGATTGCTAAAAGGAGATCAAGACCCTGCTTGAGCCAGAAGACATCACTTAAAGCTTCCCAGTCCTGAAGTTGGATAATAAACTGCAACCTTGTGAACAAAGTTTTCTCAAGGGACTGATGATATAGTAAGAAGAATTTCATCCGAATTTCAGGATCTTTTGCTCGAAGGCCAAGCATGTATTGCCTTTCCACCTTCTGAAATACCTCTTGAGGTAGGGACGGAGGGTAGCTGAATCTGAAATGTATTCAAATCAAATCACTAAAATCTTGATGCAGTGATGCAGTCTAACTTGGGAATGAAAAAAAGAAAAAAAGTACGTACTTATTTGAATCTGCACAAATTCCATAAAGAAGATGAAGATATTTTCTATCCCACTCTTCCAAAGCAGTAGGGGAGAAGTTTTGCTTATCAACCTGAGAAAGCTTCAGGAGCAAAGAGACAATTTCCTTTGGTGTGAAAACAGCAACATAACCGATTGGTGTTCCTGGTTTGCTGGATTCACCTTCAATCCAACCTTTTATTGCATCCACAATACAAAGAAGCACACTAGCATCAGTTCCCTTCTCTGAGAGCAAGGCATTCAAGATCTGACTTACAGATTTTTTGCACTCTGTCACACACATGACCTTTTCACTGATAAGTTTCAGCACAGACTTTAGATTAGAGATGACTGCACCAATATCAGCACCTTGACGAGATGAAGTAACTGCAGAATCAGGATCTGTTCGTTGACCCTGATAGGAAAGATAAAATTCATTGTAGTTAGACAACAGCTTTATGGGGATTAAATATTTATGTTTTACACAGATTAACAAAAAAAAAATGGAGGAAGTGTACCAACAGAACAGAAACAATCAAGGTAATTCCAAAAACTCAATCTCAAAATCGTTTCAACAAAAAGGGAGACACAATATCAATATATTGCCAGCATATTAAGAGCCACTTTGTCCTTTCATTAAAAAAAAAAAAAAAGAGCCAATTTGTCTTAGCTAGGGCTTTTGTGGGAGTACTGTTTGGATTCATCACTTGTAAAAGGGCTAAATGTGAAGTTAAATAAAATATTATAATTGAAAATTTACCAGAATCTGAAGTCTATCTGCAAAAGCATCATTCCAGAAGCCACAATTTTGTAGCTTCAACTCCAAACCATCTATAAGCTAAAATTAACTTCCAAACCATCTATAAGCTAAAATTAACTTCTAGAAAAAACAGAAGTAGTTTTAAGAAAACTATGGTTGGCCTGGCTTCTGACTCAGGAGTAATCATGTAGGACCAAAATCAGGGCCAAACACTCACTATGATAAAAAGTAAAAGTTTCTTAGCAGTATAATTGAGGTATAAATAAAAGTACTCATTCAGTTTGCAACATGTGATATCAAACATACAATAGAAATATTCAAGAAAAATTCATGTACAAGAACATTTACGTTTAGCAAGCATTGCTCTGTACTAGGTAACAGTAACATGTAGAATTTGAACCTCAATTCTCAAAGGATATACTTTATGACAAAAAGAAAAGAAAAAAAAAATCCAAAGAGCTTACCATATACCACAATACTGATATGCTCAATGTGCATAAGTGCATAAGTGCATCCATGTATCTAAATATGATTAAAGTAAATTTAAAAAGAGAAGCGACAATGGTATACTTGTCTCAAATGAGAGCCTGCTGATGATCCCATGTCACGGGCCAATCGTTGTAGGATACGAACCAAAATCTGAGGATCAATGCTCTTGTGCCCCTCTACCAAAGTGGTAATCACAAGCAGCACAAAGCTAATTGCAATTGTAGAGTTATCTTCACTTGTTGCCTGAGGAGCTGTTACAGTGTTAATCTGCTTCTGTATAAGGTCATCAACCCTCTGATTTAACAATTTTACTTCCACTGGTGTAGTAACCACGTCCAAAGGAAAAGTAAGAAAGACCATCTTCAACAAGGAGCACAATGACTTCCCGGCATCTAATATTTTAAGCTTGAAGCAGGGTTCAAGAATCTGACAGGGTTATGGCAACAACATAAGAAATAGAGAAAATTGAAGGCCAGGGTTGAATTTGAATAAAACTGTTATGCAAGGAGATACCTGATTAATCTGAGTGATGTTATTTCTAATGAATAGATGAGGCTGCTTTTCCAAAACCTTATTCATAACATCCAAGCCTTGAGCAAGAGCTGTTGAAGGGTCCTTTGACTGAGATGGCTGAATACTGTTCAGAAGTTTCTCTAAATAATTGAACTTGACATTGGCATTTGGCCACACCTCTAAAGCTTGCGAAAGTAAATCTAAAGCTTGTTTATACATTGCACTTGCTTCCTTGTCCTTAGGCTCAATGACTAAGGCAACCTGTTTCAAGAGGCAAATGGCAAAATTCATTTTAGATTATCAAAATTATGACAAAATAAGTCCATAATAATCATGTCAAGCACAAAATTTTATTTTTCACTGATGAGACAAAACACCCAATGTGTCATAAAATGATATCAAACTCATTATCAAAGTCAAGCTGAATGAAGCCATGCACATCATGCTCAACTTTTTCAGATAAATGCAGGAAAAATAACATATATTGTCTTGGTGATGGGATAATGGTCACCACACTAAGTTCAAACATCTTCTTCCATATGTCTCTGCATGTGAATTCCACACAACTTAGATATGGACAGACACAAATACAAACCTCAATGATTAATACCAAGTAATATAATTGAATAAAATCATGCAAAGTGAAAAGCTGGTAGAGACTAAGCTAAAGAAGCATTTAAGTGACATATTTTGGGTTAGACAAGCACAGCAACTATCATGGAAATTTTTATCTTGAGAAACTGCCATTCAAGCAATCTATCAGCCATTGTGAGAAGAAATTTATAAATTACCAGCCAGCTTCTTAAATAGGCTATACAGTATATAAAAACATCAGTTGAAAGAAAGCCTCACTCGTATAAGAAAATTGATAATCATCTCTTCCATAGCAGCATTTGGCTTAAATTCTTCATCAGGTTGGCTGGCAGGTCCAGGGGTTTCTATGTTGGGAATCGATGCACCACCAGGTGACATGACACACAGGGATTGAAGACCAGGTTCAACTTTAACTCGCTTACTTGGATCTTCAGGAAATGTGGAGCTGTCAATTGGACGCTTAGGATCAGCACTAGTAGAACCAGAGTTAAACCCATCAGTAATCTGACTTGAGACATCACTATCAGTAACAACTTTCATTTCATTTTGCCTTTGTCTTTCCCAACCAACCACCAATCCAGCAAGTTCAATGGCAAGACGCCTGTTTTCTATTGTAGTATTATATGGCAATCCTAGCCTACTGAGAGAATTTACCATCTGAGGCACAAATTGTGCTCTGCAATTGTAAAATAAATCTGAATGGCGGACAATAAGCTGAAAAATATGAATCAAATTAGGGATTGAGTGACCTTCCTCAACCAAAATCTTTTTGGTGTATCTTATCCAAATTGGCATGCGAGAATCCCCCAAAGGTAACCTTCCTGGCAATGCTGGCATTAGGATATCAAGGGCCTGCTTGACCAACATTTTATTCTCTGGCTGGCAAGTTCTGAGAAGTGCAACGAAAACCTACATTTCACATCCACATCAGAATACATTTTTTTATCACGATATAGAAATGTCTAAAAACACGTATCGTACAGACAATTTGCAAAATGCACAGATGTATTTACTAGTGCAAATATTCAGTTAATGTCCAAGGGAAACAACTGAGGTTAGAACACTTCAACTATTCCAGTGAATGGTTTCCAAGTGTTAAACAATATCATTTAACTGCATGGTAAGTTGACCCTGGCCAGGAATCAAGGGATAAAACAAGATATCCTCGCCGTTTGGCCAATAAAAAAAGTGATCTCTGTTTGCTAGAATGTAATATTTTCAGCTAGTAAAACTGGCATTAAACAGATCAGTAGCCAATTTAAATAAGAAACAAGATTAATAGGATCTCTTTATTTTTCTTTTCCTTTTTTTCTAGTATAATCATTCTACAGTTTCATGTGATAATAAATGGTTCCTATGAGAAAACAAATAACAAGCTCATACTGCTATTTAATACACGCATTAATTTTTTTTCAAGGTACCTGTAGAATAATCTTTTCTGGAGCTTGATAGGCCTCCAAAAAGTGGCAAACATTCACAAATGCCCACTGCTTACTGGCACTATCTTCACGTTTGAGGTGATTCCAACCAAACTTTATAAGTTCTTTCCTATGATGAACAAGATCATTCTGAAGATATTTAAGAAGCAGAGTTGCAAGTTGCAAAAGCTCAATCCTCAAAGGCTCATCATATTCAGCAGAAACCTACAGAAATGATGCATTATTAAAACTAATAAAATAACCATCATAGTTATGTGCTTAGATTAATGTGAAAAACCGAACTTGTAATAAGATGCATGGCACAGAATAAATTGTAAAATTTGTCAGTCACCTCTTCTGGAGGATCAAGAAGCTTGTCAACAATGGTTTTTATAATACCAGGATCAACAACATCCCAGCTTTGGCCATTCTGGAATGCATGAGCAAGCATTGGAAGAATAAGCATTTGCATCACAACTACCAAATGGTCATGACCAAGTTGTTTTGATTGAAAAAGATTCAAGAAGTGCAGCAAAAGCGCTTTCTTCATGTTAGGCGGGTAGCCTTCCGCTACCTGAAACAAACAAATATGTTTTCATACCATCAACCACATAAAACCAAAAAGGTAAAATGGGAATGCAGTACACAATCCAAAAAAGAAAGTATAGTCAAATACCTCGATGATATAAAATTCCTTCAAGAAAGTATAGTCAATGCGACTATGATGCAAGAAAATGGAGAGGATATCAAAGAGAACATTAACTTCATTTTTGTCATGTCGCAGGTAATTCAAGAAGCACTTGACAAGCCATTTGCTTTCTTTCACCTGCATTATTTTACAGTAATGATGAGTCAAAGGCCATGAGTAAACGGACACACCCACAAAAGACATCTCCACAGTGGGAATAAAAGAAATTGTTGTAAAGTTAAAACAGAAGGACCTCCAATTTTAACCAGTGTTGTCAAAAGCGTAAACCGGTCTGAAGCGCCAGCCTCAAAAAATGTTTAAGTGGTGGAGCGGAAAGTGAAGCGGGCAATTAAAAAAAGATTATATAATGATACATATATCTTAAAAGGAGAGATTCAAGACATGGGAAGAGGAGTTAGTTAACTCCACAATTTTGCCAAAGAGAAACAAGGAAAAGGAGAAGAAAAAAGAGAGGGAAATGTAGAAATAACAAAGCAAAAAGCAAGAGAAGAGAGGAATAATTCCTAGAGAAACTCCTCTAAGGAAGAAATAGCTAAGGTTTTCTAAGAAGAGAAAGCAGTAACAGTGAAGAAGAGAACACACACAACAGCAAGGAAGCAAGAGAAATAGGTTGAGCGTGCTCTTAATGTTTTAATTACTCCTAGTTTGGTTAAAATGGTTAAAACTTCATTTTTTCCCTTTAAATTAAATATCTATTGGCCAAATTATTATTTAAATGGGGCATTTTTGCCTAAATTGAAAAAATTAAAAGAAGCACCTGCTTCAACCGCTTAAGCAAAAAAGCGGGCGCTTCAACCCTGCTTCACTGAAGCGGAGCACTTCATGAACCAATAGCACCCCTCTTTTCTGCTTAAATGGTCGAAGTGGATGCTTTTGACAACACTGATTCTAACAACTTGAAATAAATTGTGCTATAACCATCATAACAAGCAGTTTCATTCTTAGGGATAGGTAAAAAGCGATGGAGAAAGATAACTTACTTGTACTAGATTGAGCTCCTGTTCATTCCGTAAACGAGAGATTCTTGCTGGTGACTTCCAAACAAGTACCAAGGTGTCAAAAACAAGACGGTTACTTTGCAGCCAGCCAGGTATCAACTTCACTAATATTTTAATAAGTGCAAGCCCTTGAAAATAAGCATCTGAAGTGGCACCAGAAATTGCCACTGTCAAATTAGAACCATCAGCTGAAGGAGTAACATGGCCGTCATCCCCTAATAAAGCAGCAGGAGTTGAAGATCCAGGAGCCATTGCTGCATCAGATTTAGGCATATATTCAGGAAGAGCACTTTCAAGAATCTTCTGTGGTGACTTTGCAAGTTCTTCTCTTAAAGGTTGCCCAGCATCTGACCGTATTATATACATAAACCTGAATTATACAGGAAAAAGGGAAAGAAGAAGAAAACTTCTCAGCCAACTATACAACAATGAATAGATACTAACTGTTTCATCCAGCATCTTAACCTTACCGCCTGAAGTATTTTGGTTCACTTAAATGACCAAGGAAGTAATCAACAGCAAGTGTTGCATATCTATTCAAAAATTTGGTGAGCGGAAGGCGATATGGACTATTGATCTCGCTATATACTTGTCCTGGGGGAAGAGTTCCCTCCAAATCAATTGTGAGGGTGACAAGTTCATCAAGAAACTTTGATGCAGCAAGGGGAAGCAAGTGAAATAGCTCAATTATAGCTGCATTTGAATGGAAAATATATCTTAATAAATGCATGGCTATAATACATGTCTATTAGATTTGTTGAAATGATCAGATGCATGCACAAGAACCAAGATATCATCAAGACAATTTAAAGCACTACCTGCAGCAATTTTTGGCTCTTCACCAGCCTTCCAAGATTTCTGATTCTGAGCAAGTTTCTCTGGTTCCAACCATTTCTTAAGGTGCTCCAACAACTTGCCACCCAAGGTGACATTAAACCAATTGGACAAGAGTTCAAGCAAGCGCGCCAAACCTTGCAGAAGAGGCATGCTGAGATTCTTGGTATGTGCCAAATTGACAAGTATGGGCCGCAGGCTGGTTTGTAAAAGGTCTTTGGGCATCCTTTGTTGATTAATAACCTGGATAGAAATGAAGTATATGAATAGTTAAAGACCTATTTCAAGAAATTCAAAAGTAGAAGAATAAGAAGTAGGCTCCATCAGGAAAGAAGAAGAAGAAGAAGTAGCAAAAGTGAGCTGCCTATATATATCATACTTTTTATCAACCATCTATTTTGGCTTCATGACCAGCCACACACTTCTATCAGCTAAGACAGGTCAGGTTTTGGGTTGTAACTAAATCAAAGTGAATATCCCAAGGATAGTTCACTTCTCCAAAACCAGAGGATATCATCAACAGACTGAATTTCATCCAGTCACACACATCAAAAGTGAAAAACCAACTATACTACACAAGTTTAGAATACCTGCCGTAAACCCTCCTTAGCAACAGCAACAATTTCTGGGGTCCGACATGTCAGAGACTTGAAAAACATGGAAATGATCTTACTACGCAATTCATTATGATTTCCAGATTTGAAATCTGCCCATGCCATTGTGGTACAAAGGAGTTCTATGCAAGCAGTTCGAAGCTTATTTAGTGATGTGACTGCTTTTTGGTTAATCAACTTCATCATCCATGCATTTTCATCAGCCTCAGCTATTTGCAAAGCTTCTTGAAGAAAATTAAGCAACTCTTGTGTCAACTTGAGAAGAGGGGGTCTTAAGGCCAAACAGAAATTCAAAGCTGTAACTGTTCCAATCTATAAGCAATCCAAAAAGAATGTTAGAGAGAGAATAGCAGATATCTTAAAATGATACAAAGCAACAAGATGATACCTGTTGATCAACAGTTTTTGTCCTGAGTGGACGCATTATTAGAGGCTGAAGCAAAGGTTGATGCAGAGGCTCAAGCAACTCAGATACCTCACTGCCAGTCCTACTAGCCAAAAATGCCAAACAAGATTGTACATTCTTTCTCACAATGATAGATGCATTTGCATTGAACAACTCTGAGGCAAGGTACTCAACTACTCCTTTAAAACCTAGCTTGCGAGGTTCACTGTTTGCTTCATCCACATTATTCACCACACGAAGAACCTGTGTAAGAACCTGACTTGTCTCTTCCTGTTCTTTGCTAGCATAAATGGGCAGCCTTTTAAGAACATAAACCAGTCCTCGAACAATTTTTACTTGGAAAAGGCACAGAGTTTCAACAGTGACCTTTCCAACTAAAGCACCTAGACCCATAACACCTCCCATTTGTGCCTGCCATGTACTTCCATAACAACAATGCAAAAGGCGGGGCAGAAGTTGCTCAAAAACTGGGATTCGAATACTAGGTGGTGGTGAATATACAGGATTCATTGATGGACTAGAGACCATCATGGGAGTCCCTGGACCTCCTCTTGACATCAGGGCATCAGCATGTTTTGTGCGAGAAAGAAATAAGAGTGTTTCAGCAAAAACATTTAAAGCAGTAAGAGCAGCTTTAGCCTGCAGTCTGTTTTCATCTACTAGCACTTCAACCAAAGCATCTAAAAAGATCAAGGGGTCCAACTCTTTAAGGTTACAAGAACTACTAACTTTTGACCTGGAACTGGCACTGACATTTGATGAAAGAATAGGACCCCCAAGAGAAGCACTTGCAGCTAAAGTATTAGTTGTCATATGGTCAATATGAAATATCATTGCAAAATGGCGACAAACATTGACAACAAAATCATCCTTGGGATCACTTAGATCTGGTTCTGCACTAGTGGCAATAATGGTCATCAACAGAATTTTGAAAACTGATTTCTCAGCCATTAGTTGGGTCTTTGTCTTCACACCCAAGTCAGCCTGCAATAATTGTATTCACTGTCATTTAATAGAAGATTTTGCATAACAAATTTCAGTAACTTGGAACAAAATATTGAAATAAAATCACAAAGGAGGGGATAAATAGGAAGGCATAGAATACAATACTAAAAATATGCTTCTATTTGGTCAGGTTGACTGCACGTACACATTAAAAAGAAAAAAAAAAGGATAAATTATATAAATTGGTTTTGGAAAAAGAACAACACAAATGATAAGTGGGTATCAAAGTAAGAATTTTGGATGTCAGCATGAAAATTAGGAGAATGCATCAACAAAATGCTATGAAATACAAACTTTATGCCCAAATTCTGTATTAGAAGAGATGCAGAGAAAAAGTTAACTTAATAATCCATTATCCAGAAAGACACCAAAATATAATTAACATAAAACCAAATTTCGTGAAGAGAACATAAGAATAAAACAGGCAGCTCAGATAGATAAAAGCTACCACAAAATCTTGAATCTAACCTTTATATCTGATGTCTCAGACCTGCGCAGTGATGAATCAACATTAGAAACCAGCAAATTTGACAATTTCTTGGGTGTATATCCCTCATCAGCAACATTCCCAGGCAAGTTAAGCTGAGATGATAAGCAAACACGAAGAAATTTTACGGCTTGCTTCCGGTAGAAAGCCTCCATGCTTGCATTTTTGTTCATAACAGTTGCTACGGCCAGATTTATGCATCGATCCAGTGGCACCAAAAATGGGGTTGAGGGCTCAAATGTAAGAATCAATCGGAGCCCATGCTCAGGGTTTTCCTTACACTCAAGTGCAAGAGGCTCTTTGAGGAAACGTCTGTTACGACCACCTAATTTGCCCAGGAGTTGCAAAACTTTTCCACCCCAAGGGTAGGGTGCTGGCCTTAAGTGAGACCACAAGGCTAAAATCACCTCTGACATCACATTAGCCATACTCGGTTCTAAGAAATCAGGATTCAAACTATCCACCCAGAACTCAAGTGTTCTTAAACCTAAGCTTACAAGCTCATCGTTTCCTTTGAGACACAGAACAAGAGGCTTCATGAGTCGGGGGAGGAGTGGTAACAAGGAGCTCAATCGGGCGGGCAAGGTTAGAGAAAGCTCCAACAAAAGATCCTTCATGTCCTCTGCTGTAGGAGCCTCGAGCATGGTTAACAGCATATTTAGACAGGGGTGCAGCATTGGAACTAAGTCTCGCAGTAATAGCTCAAATTTGCATCCTGCTAGTGCTCTGAACATTATACGAAGAAGCTGCAAATAACCAAGAGGCTTCTCAACTACAGTAGCATTTTTCATACAAACTTCCATGATAACAGGCACATGAGGCTGCAAAATACGTTCAAAATCTGAAGGTGCTCTTGCAACAGCACCAAATATAAATCGAAATAGATGCAAAACCAGTTTGCCTGCAGGTGAATCTGGATTCTTCAAAACATCAAGTTTGCTGCTAACAAGAAAATTAACCAAAACATCTGCAAATGGCCGGTATACTTTAGGGGCTTGCAGTAGGCTTGAAAATATATGAACCAGTTGAGTGTTGGAAATCATGCACTCAAATAGCTCAAGCATACATAACGAGAACATGTCCATAAGATCTCGAGGTTCCATAATGGCCAAAATCTGAGAAAATTGATTTATCATTTCCCTCTCCTCATCTTTCTCCTTGAAGAGGGGTAAGCAATGTATACCACTCTTTAAAACACCAGAAGCTTTCCAGACCTGACAAAAACAGAGTCAGAAGAAGCTAATCATGCCTAGAAGCCAACATCAAATCTGTTAGTCTTTCTTTGCTTGATACCTCATCTTCTCTCATTCCTTTAAATGATTGAGGAGCTGGCAAGCTGGAGGCAGGTGAAACATGAACTTGCAGTTGCTGGTGTGTTCCATGAGTGGCAGATGAAACCTTCACAATCAAACAACTAAGACAACAAATTCCAGTCAAATAACATGAAAAATAACAATGGACAATTTAAAAACCTGAGAGCGGGGCAAATGTGCATGAGTGATACTCCATATAATGGTTTTCATTCCTGTAAATGTATCCAGTTCCAGACAATTATTAGCTAATTTTGGGATGACAAGAAAAGAAGTAACCAGGCTAAATACCATTCATAGACATTTATATCACCAGAGAATCCCTAAAACTTCAAAATTTTCTACCCAAATTAAATTGTCAATTGACAATAAAAGAAGCAGAAATGAGACTGAAAAACAAAGAAAAAGGATCCATTACCCATGACCAAGGTCTTGATTAGGTTCTTGCAGTCATTGACTTCCTTGGAATGCTCCACAGGTACCTGCAGATTCAAAACAGCCTGCAAACAACCAACGGTGTTAATATCAAAGAATCAAGGCTGAACCAAGGATGCAAAAACAACTTTTTCCAAAAATAAATGACAAGCCACAAAGTATAGTAAAGTCAATACGATCATTGATTATAGGTTTTTCACGATGCAATAAATGCACATTGATTAGACAAGCCCTTGATTATATTTTTGAAATACTTGCTCTGAATAATCTTGAGTATATTACTATATTTTATATTTTTTCCAACCTAAAAGGAACATGGATCTGGTTATGTCAGTGCAAGGGTTGTGGGATCTAAAAAAGTTTCAAGAACAACTGCTCAAATATGTGAAATTACTAAAAAAAATTACAGATTGTGACTTTAGAAGTCAAAGGAGAAGTACACAAGGTGAAAGACCTTACATATTTCAGTCATCATAATTAATTTAAGTAATTCAAAGATCATAACATTTGGCTTATAAAGGAAGTTCAGCCTTCTTGGTCTTGCCATTTTGCTTAAGTTCAGCTTTCTTTTGTGTGTTTTGTTCCTTGAAAATGACAATAATGTCTGAAATCTCAATTTTTGACTCCCTGCATACAAAACTAACCTTCAGCCTAACACTCCTATAGTGTTATTTAACCAAAGAGGATAACAAATCTCAAGAAGCATATAATTGACCAATCATGATGGTGATGAAAATAAATTCCATATTCTTGTCATGTGCAGTAACAAACTCAGCAAGCTGGATACCAAGAGATATAAGTAAACTCACTAGGACTTGTCCAAACTGTAACAATATTTAAGGTGGCCATAAATGATAAGTTACAGAAGGAACCTGTGCAGGGAGTTCTAGCTTTGACCTCAATGTAGGACGATCTTTTCCCTCTTCACCCTCCTCCAACAACTATCAACAAACATAGATTATTGAATATAATAATATAGAGCAAAAAATATATCTGATTGGAAGCCAAGGACTACAAGAAATTGAACCAAATCCAACAAGACCTTCAAAGGAAAGGTAATCAAAAGAGACAAGATCAACCAAGCCATAAACACAAGGAACACAAAGCATTAACACCAAAGAAGCAAAGTGGGGACCGAGAAGCTAATATCCAAATAAACAAGCATAAACAACATTTTAACTGCAGAAGGATAATATTATTTTTCAAGAAGCCTATGAAAAAGAGTATTATAGTTAAAATTGTAAGTTAGGATACACAGTATATCACCCTACTCTGATGACATATCATTTGAACTTCTACCCATTGCACCCTAAATCATTAAAAAGAAAAGAGGAAAAGAAAAAACATTTACACAAACAAATCAGTAGCAACTACAGGTTAAACCTATTTCTACAAAATGGGTCAACTGCACAAAAGACTAATTATAATGCAATGACTATCAACTACATCACTGCCAGCTTCAGAACAACAGAGGAAAGAATGAAAGAACAGGCTGATGACATAAAGTCATAACATATCAGACTCACAGAACCTCAAAGAAGAAACTAATAGCATATGAACACCAAAAAGGGGAAAATACAATGGATAAAATTTCATTGTAAATGCCAAAACTCAAGTATAAAGTAACATTGTACTGATAGCAGACGTTGTCAGTCAATTACTTCAGAAAACTCTCAGAAACTAGTCACATTGAACATCACAATGAAGTACATACTCCAAGCAGGCAGTTATAGAGAAAGAACAATCCTAAAGAATTGACAGGGAAGGATCTAAAGTTGGTATAAAATTAGTGTAGAGATTAATGTAGCAAAATTGCTACCTGAGGAATGGTACGCTTGAAAGTACTAAATTTCCCAACAAAGGCATCCAAAATGCGCCCCTATAAAAACAAAATTTATTAGAAGAAGCACCACAAATTTCAGAAAAATTTGCCCTTAAAGTTAACCTAATTAGTAGCAGTCACACCAAAACTCTTACCAAAAGAATCCGCGCTTCATCCATTGATGGCTTATCGACACCTTTTTCAAAGATTGGTTCCACCTAATTTTCAGGAGCCATTCATGACATTGAGTCACTAGTGAACGCAACATCCAACTTTAAAACTTATATAATTCAGGCAGAATTTAAAAGGAACAGAGCAAGAATATAGACCAGATTTAACATCAACCGAGCACAGGTTGTATGAATGCCAAGTGACAATGAAGCATCATGCATATTACTGGAGAACAAGTATATAATTCGTGATAACTGCAAAGAAAAGATTTAACTACATCAGCATTGGAATAACAAGATGCAATGGCAAAACTTGATTAGCATATCATATTGCTAGCAATGAGTAACATATTCTCGAACATCAAAAATGGTATGCAATAGATTTTATCCCATCTTTGCTTCTTTGTCATAAATTCCCTATGATCTTTGTGCAATACATGAACATAATAGTGTGTGCCTAAGGATGAAGGGCCATGCATATGAAAATCATACAAGACAACCAAAAAATAAAATCACAGATTTCAATTATGTACCAGCTTATAACATATATCTAAATTCAAGCACATCAAATGATTCAGGAGAAATTTATAAATTATAAAGCATGACCATGTACTTTTCAGTTTAATAAAAAAGAGAAGAAAAGCATGACTGTAAATTTAAGAAACCAAATGTTACTTCTAAGTCAATTGGGAGAAAATAAATATATCCAAATAGCATAAGGAAAAGCATCATAGAATCCAACTGATTAACTAAAAAGTGGCCACATTAACAAATCCAGCATAATACAATAAAATCACAAAAATTTAATCAAATGGACAAGCCTTGACCACTAACACAAGGAACATGCAACTCCAACAATACCAGTACACATATAGCCATCAAATAGTCAACCGAAATCAACCAATAATAGAAAGAGAACTGGATAAATCTATGATCTAAGAACCTGAGATAGTGAAAGGTCGCCCCTAACATGATGAACAATCTCTGCCAGAAGACTATATGCCAATGGCCTCAAAGTCTCAAAGCAGGCCCTCCCAGTTCCAACTAGAACTCTGAAATAGAAAGATTAAAAAACAGTAGATAATACCTAAAATCAGCATACTTTTGTTCATCAGATTTAGTATATAATTCAAACATCTACTTCAAAGATTCTACAAACTGTATTGAATAATGATTAATGACACTCTAACAATGTAAAAGAAAATACTCATATGCATTGCATCCAAATGAAACTTCAAGGTTTTACTTTTATCAATTGATACTTTGTGGTGGTTAACTGAGATTCAACAAAACTTTAAGGGCGTGTGAGGCTAGCTCCCCAATCCCTCCCACCCCCTACAAGAGGGCTTTCTAAAACTGAAATCAGCTGTTATGAAAACAAAGATGTTAACTGAGGTGATTATGACATGTTTGACCTTCTGACGAAGTGGGTTCAGGTTTGACATTGAGGTCCATTCTGAGAATCCTTCCTTCTATCACCAGCTCTCTCAAACATATTTGTTATAAATTCTTAGAAACAGAGAGGAACCAAGGAAGTGGACCAATATTGACTCAATCTCATGATGGCCCCAATAAATTTAACTATACAAAAACTTTCCCTTTTTATGGCACATTTTCTACCAAACAAAGAACAAATTGGAAATAGTAATAAACTAATAATATCAGTGTTACCTCTCTTCCAATAATTTGTCAATCAAAGGAAATAAACCCCTCTTGAAATCTGTCCCTAGGACATGTTTTAAGGCAACTAATAATTCCTGCATCCAATATCATCTAATGTCATATTACATAACTGCAAGGTAAAAAATCCAAGAAGAGAATACAGACTAAGAGAGAAAGAAATATCACCTTTCTAATGGATACAGAATCAGAGCACGTAACAAGCAAATTCACAATGCTTTTACATATACTTTCTTCATGTGGCCTGATATAATCAGCACAGCTCTTCAACAGGTAAGTTAAAAAGGAAACTGTCTGGTATAATGAACAAGGAGAGTGTTAGTAGAAAATTAGGAAATCTGATGATTATGCAAACTGATGGAAAAGCAAAGTGTTTCTCCAACCACAATGAGTCAAACAACTAAACCTTTAACTATAATCCATTTAGATCATAATCTAGCCACTATTACCTAATAGAAAACCTAACAGTACAGAACGGAATGCTGGATTCAAAGGCAGGATAAAATAACAACCGCATACCTTAACCTGTGCACCTTTCAACTCAATGAAGTGGGTCTTCAGATTTGGATGAAATTTTTCAGGACCAGGAACAGATATGGCAGCAACCATCAAAGGCAACAGGTGAGGAATATTTGTTTGAACAAGTCGAGTATATAATTGGAAAAGAAACATAACTACAAGAGGGCTCTCTGTTACTATCTTAAAGGAACGGGTGCTAGGGTTTAGCTGCCCATTTCCAGTGTGTCCAGTATTAGAAATTGATTGTTCTGAAGAAGATATATCCATTGGCTTAACATCTTCCACCACACCAGGTGCCCCATTTTCAAAGAAATGGCTAACAGTCAACCTAAAATTCTGGTAAATCTTGCACACAAAGTCCAAAAAAGGTTGAACTTCAGTTTCCAAAGAAGGCCTAAAATTCCTCAGAAGATCAAAGATAATACGAATACAAATTAACCCATTCTCTTCATTGTCTGTAGTGAGCACTTGCATGGCAACCTTCAAGAGGTCCTGAACAAAGGGGCGAAGAACCTCACTATGAGGTAATCTATTAAGGATCTCCACCGCAATGTTCCGAAGCTTGTGCTCATGATTGTCAATGAACTGGGGCTTTGTAATCTGTAAGAGAATGACTGAGAATGCCCGGAAGTAGCATTTTAGGAAATTCAAGTACTCCGAGGTATGTGCAATCTCAAGACTATCTCTAACCTCCATTGCCATCTGTAGCCTGGCCTGAATAGCTGTTTAGCAAAAACACAACAGGAATCATAAAACAGCATTATAATAAAAAGCTCTATCACTTTTATAATAATAATAATAACTAAGAGAAAACAGTGGATTTAAAACACAACAGGAATCATAGAACAGCATCATAATAAAGAGCTCCATTAGAACAACATAAAGCAAATAGCCTTTTTTGTGGGCTGGGGAAAAACTCAAACAACGTAACCCAATTCTTTGAGTACAACACAAAGCAAACAAAGAAACAGATAAATTCAATGAAAATGGGGTTGCTACAACTTGGGTGATTTCAATTCGTAAACCAGGAAAAACCAAAAATTAGAGAAGAATCAAAACTTAACCCAATATAGAACAAAATATAAATATCAAGGTAGGAGAGAGTACTTAGGTCGGGCTCGATGATATGGCGAGAGTGCTGCTCGAAATTCTGGATAGGACTCATGGTTGGGACCTTGAGAGGGACTGAAAAGGCCCTAACTCTGCTCTTTCAGGGTACCACCACTTCAGCAAATAGCTTCTTCTACTCCTTGCTCAAGCGTCTCTTTCTTCTTCACGCTGAAATTGCTTCAGCGAACACCTAAACCTAATTCTGTATGCATGATTTACAGTAAGGATTTTCAGCAGAGGTGCCACAGCGAAATTAGGGTTTGAGAAATGGAAAAGGGTTTTATTGAGGAACACAGCAGCAGGTGATGTACGTCTTCCCTTACTTTTCTCAGACCCTCGGGTACTATGGAGTTGGAGTTGGAGTTGGCAACTCTAGCCCCGTATATACGGAAATAAAAGAAATAAATTTAACTAAATATATTTTTTAAATATAACTAAATATCTTTAATAAAGGTAGCTCTCCTTTTATTTATTTATTTATTT